AAAAAAAAAAAAAAAAGGTTCCATAAACTAACATGATTCAATCTGATACAGAATAAGAGTTATGATAGGGAGTGATAATGGTGATGGAACTTCAATTTCCAATCACACTGGAATGAAAAAGCTAACAATTAAATGACTACAGTCGTGAGTTGAACCCTTCCACCATGGAAGCCTAGGCAGGCTTTCTCTCGGCCACAATATCAGACAGCAGATTGTCCCATGGATTTGGCCATTCTTTTGACATGAATAATCTACTACCAAAATATGCTAGGCTTGGGCTTCATAACAAGCCGAATGATACATTCTCAGCAATGAAAGAAGTTGAAATAAGATTCTAATTTTCATAATTATAAATTCCCACCAGCAAAATTATGACCTCAAAATGAGATTAGTCATTAGTCAATTGAAATACTAGAAGGTAATGCTTTAACTTGGAGACAAACAACAAAAGAGTTACATAGCAGGGGAAAAAAAAGGGCTCAATAGCCAGTATCACGTCAGTATCACCTCTTTCTTTTCTTGTTTCCAGCAGCACTGCCTTGATTGAAGCCTCTCAAATCATTTGTGGTTTCGGCAGTATTCTGCTTCTTTAAACCTTTCCCCCCACCAAACCCAAATTTGGAATTCCTAAACTCCCTATTTTTACCTTTCTTTCCCTTAAAACCACCACCTTGCCGTGCTTTCCCCCCAGAACGATCCCCAGGAGAAACCCCTGGCCTTTTCTTATTTGACCTCTCAAATGCTTTCCCGTCTTCAAAGGCCAAATCCAGCTCACTGTCTTTGCCAGTCTCGGGGAAGCCATTCCTCTGCCTCTGCTTCCTCCACTTCTTAACAGCCTCAATTTCTTGTTTCTTCTGCTTAGCTCTCTCCTTCAACTTTTCAGCCTGAATCTCCTTAGCTAGTCTCTTGGCTTCCCTAGCCTTCTTCCTCTCCTCAGCCTCCTCAATTTTTTTCTTTTCTGCCAAGAGCCGACCTTTCACCTTCTCCATATGCACATCCGTCTTAACCATTTCTGCATAATAGTCAGAAGGTCTAAGAAAAGGCAGCCCCATTGACTGAAGCTTCTCAAACGCCTGCCTCGTTCCCTCCAAAGCCTGCGTGTAGAAAGCCAACTCTCTTGCAAGGTCATCATTCACATCTACCTCTTTCTCTTGGTCAATATCAATGGAAAGTCTGTGTACCCATTCAACATCCTCCGGCCAGGTGATATCGTTTAGTTTCTCAATGAGACCATCTCGGTTGAATATTGCATTCTTTGAAGGTTCAACCAACTTAACATCTCTTTCTTCCTCTTCTGATCCTGATTCCGATTCCGATTCAATATAATCATCTTCCATTAAATCCTCTTCAAGAAAGGACGATTCTTTACCAGGTGGTGCCATTGAACATTTGAACTAAACCCATCAAAAAAGAGAAATCAAATTCGCTTTCAGACATGAATCATAGTATCATTCATCTTAATCAAACTCACACAACCATACCAATATCCAACAATGATGTAACTAACTGCAGATTACAGTTAAACAAAAAAGACACAACAAGAATAAAAATCATTTATGGCATCACACAACCAGGAGAAGAATATTGATGAAGAAGCTGTAGGTTTCGATTTTTAGAAAATACCTTTACGCTGTTGCTGCTCTTCGAAACCCCGGCAGAACCCTAGCTGCTCTGCCCTGGAAGGAAGAAGATTTTCGCAGCCTGCAGTGTTGTTTGTTTGTAATGAAGCATTTTTTAGAAAAAGAAAAACAATAGCAGGAAGAAAAAGGGTGAGGTGTGGACCTGAGGAGTGAGGAACGTTAGGCTTTAACTAATTCTTAAGGCCTGTCAGCCCAAAAAAAAACCTAATGCTTAAAGCCCATTAGTTTAGGACTGAAATATGAAAATAATCCCAATCTGCCTCCACATGCAGAGGTGTAGACGGGTTCAGAAATTTTCAATTTAATGTCTTAATAAATAAATACATTTTTTCCTCCTTTTTGGTAGAGAAAGGTTGAAGTTAAGGGTATATACTCACACGTACCAAAAAAATTAGTATTTAGTTACTTTATTAATTTTTTTATTTTTTATATCTGCTGATCGTTCGCATGCAGATTACACCAGTTCCATTCAACAGGCTACCAGGCAACCCTCCTATGGATTTCTGGGACCATAAAACCAAAATTCAGACTCGTCTAGTACAGGCACATGCAAAGAGAGAAATAACGAGTGAGTGAGGGAAAGACATGATCTCTATAGTTCCTTCTCACCAGTCACCACACAAGACTAAAAAGCGGTGAACAACCATTCCCCATAATTTTGCTATTACTGATGTACTTGAGATGCGTTTCCTTAGCCCCTCTTGATAGGGCATGATTATGGCCATTTCCAACGGTGTATTAAAACCACACATATTATGTTAAATTTAAGTGATATTTATCATTTTTTTTCTTAAACAATTAATTATAACGTTTAAAATATTAATTAATTAATTAATTTTAATTTATTAAATAATAAATGATAAATATTTTATGATTTAAGTACCATTTTGATCCCTCATCTTTTTACTTTGGTATCAAAATTGTCTCTTAATTTTAAAAAATATTAAATTTATCTTTAAACTTTTATTTTCGATATCAAAACGATTCTTCTATCAATTAAATGTGAGATGATACGTTAATTTACCAATAAATTATTTTTTTTTCTTAACTAATGACATAAAAAAAAAATATTAGCCATGAGTTGATATTTTCATTTAATTTAAAAATAATAATTTCTTTTTCCTCTTTTATTTTCTCTCTCCTTTACCTTTCCTTTTCCCTTACCTCTGCAAACTCATATCTAGGTTCTCTCTCTCAAACTTCATCTTCTTCCTCCTTTCCTCCTCCGTGCTCATCCTTTTTCTTTCTTCTTCTTATTCTTTCTCTCTCTCTACTCCCTTCTTCTTCCTCTCTCAAACCCAAATCTAGGTTTCAAGACATAAATTAACATATGAAGAAGTTGGTGATAATAAGAAAAGCAATACAAATCATTCCATTATATTAAATAGGTTAAAACTCTTTTTTGGTCCCTCAACTATTGTACGGACTCCCGAATTGGTCTCTGAACTAAAAAAATCCCTGATTTGGTTCTTACTGTTTATCATTTTTACCCCGATTTGGTCTTTCTGTTAAAAATTGTGTGATATGACCTGTTACTTCACGGCTATCAAATGACATGTCATATAATAGTCCACGTGGAAGATAATATAGCCAAAAAGTGATGATGTGGAAAAAAAATAATAT